AGCCGGTTAGCCGATCCCTCTGCTGAGAGGCAACCGGGGCGGGGGGAACCCCAGCAATTAATTAGGCTAGTTTCTGCGTGCAGATATTCATCCAGCACGACTTGGATGAAGATCAACTTATTTTACAGAAAGCCAAAACGTCTTCAGATGGGACTAGCTTTTGAATTCAGTGCTTTGTTTAAAGGCAAAACGCTTTATTACCGATTGCCGAAGCCCCGAGCCACGTATTCCTCCGCAGAGTTTCAAAATATTTTTCCGCTTGTTGGTGCTGCGCTTTGGCCCTTAACGAAAGCCAGGTGCCTGCCGAGCTCAGCGTTAGCACAGCAGCCCGGTCCCAGCCTGGCCCGCGCGGCCTGCCTTCCTCTGCCCGTGCAATACCCTGCCGAAAATGAATGCATAAAGAAACGGTTGTATTCAGAACAGGCCAGGTAATTGTTCTTCCCTTGTGAAAAGTCACAGTGAAATTAAATGTTTTATTTATTTACGTAGCTTTTCCACGTTTTCATTAGTGAATGAAGCACATGATTTTGCTTTTTAGCAAAAACATCTGTAGTTTGTGTGTCTGTGTGAATATTTTTGATTTACCAGCTTCTCCCCTTGTGCTTGGCACGCTGCAGAGCGAGTTAAGCAAACAAGCCACCCAAAACCACTTTTAATCCTTTTTTTTTTTTTTAATGTATAACAGTTATGCCTGAGTTACAGAGAGACACCTACAGGCAGCAGGTAGTTAAAGCAAATACCAGTTTCTCTTTCTACTATACTACTCCATATAGCTGAATAAATTATGGTGCGATTATATATATACACACGCACGCAGGCACTCACGCGCACGCACACATACTCACACGCAGGCATACACATGGAGCAAAATGGCTATGAGTCAAACACAGAAGCAACATATCCGCAGTTACTAGGAATAAGGAATGTCCTATAGTGCTATGTAGATATTCCCCGGGTGGGTATATGGAGGTGTTAGGGACGACGGGTTAGAAGCATTAAATACACAAAGTCTCTGAGCGACAGGAGCCAGTCTGCTGAGTTACTGGACACAGTGAGGAAATGTCCGTTTTGTGGTCTCAGGATGGCGCTGAGAGGCGAAGGCCAGGCTCGGGAGGGGCATGGGGAGGTAAAAGAAATCCACTCGGCGTTTTTCCTTTCCCCCAAGGGTGTCAGTTCTTGTCCGCAGGCATGGAAGAAATGTCGACCTGAGAGAACGGCTCTGGAGGGCGTCCCTTCGCTTGGTGGTTTGTTTGGATGAGGTGCGGAAGGATTTTTGGATTCCCAGGCACCCTCAGAGTCAACCAGGAGTTATCTGCTCAGTCCCTGCTTGGGCTGCTTCGAGCGACTGCGACCGCACGTTCTTCAGGGTCCTGCTGTCCAACGCTTGTCTGCTGCCGATTGCTACTCTTCCATGCTCGGTTTTGTTTTGCCTTCAAGGCACCTCCCTCTGTTCTGTCCCCCCACTCCCCGTCCCACCCCACCCCCTGAGTTTCTCTCTTTTCAGCAGAACCGAGGTTGGCAATCCATAAAACAAAACAAAACAAAACAAAAAATGCTTTGACCTTCATACATGAACGTACCTTAAAACAAAACAAAGAAACAAAACAAAACAAAAAAATCCCCAAATCAAACCCATCCCACCCCAAAGATTCTGGAATGTATTTTGAAAACACACGATAGGCAAATTTCTACAGTTCATCCCCCCTCCCCCCCCCCTTTTTTTTTTTTTTTAAACTAGCACGGCACTCACTGTGGTTTTAGTATAAAAAAATGTCAACTTTCTATAAACATACAGCACATGACCAAATTTCCAACTAATGTACAAAGTGCGACCACGAGGGAAAGGTCAGAGAATAGCTATTTGCGCTAGCATGGGGCGTTTTTCATATTCCTCTAAGAACTCTATTTACAGCTGTGCCCAGGTGTTGACGGACTTTCTGGTGAAGGTAATTGGCAAATAGGTTTCTACAGCACTCCCTCTTTTTAATATTTTTTTTTTTTACTTTTGGGGTCCTGCACTCTGCGCTGAGCTCAGTCCTCCTCGACAACACGCTCACAGTGAGGACCGACTGTCCGCTGTTGGGGGACGCTTGGGAGACATGGATGCACACACGGGAGAATAGATAACGGCGGGGGGGGGGGGGGCGGGGGGGGTTTTTGGGCAGGAGAGAGAATAGATAACGGCGGGGAGAAGAGAGCCGATGGGTTTTTGCGAGCAGGAGCAGCGGACAAGCAATTCTCATGACAAACTGAAACTTTCCTTCTAGTTTAGCAGGCAGCTAGGAATGCATTTGGTCAGAAATTTCAGTATAAAGAAGGGATTGCAAATGTCTGGGGCAGATACGGGGCCAACAGTCACCGCCTACAAACTCCGTCTTGCAGGGGCAAAGGAGGATGGAGATTTGAAGGTGCTCCCAGACTGGGTGATTATCGGCGTTTGGCTTCTTAAATACGATTAAGAAAACCATGTGCTCTGTTGTTTGAGCAGGCAGCTCAAAATGATACTGAGGCACAGGAGCAAATTCAAAGAGGTGCTTCGGTCATTAATCCCTACGCCAGTGTCTATCGCAGAGACGCCCGTGCTCTCACCCTCAATCCCCCAGTTCAGGTGTGGCTGAAGGTTACTGGTGTTGGGAATGACATTTATGCCAGGACTGGAATTCAAAAGGGACTTCTTCCTTAGATCAGCTCTAGAACATAAACAACATAAACCAGCATATTTGTTGCTTTCCGAGATCTCAAACTAGCGCAAAGCAGGGAGAGTGCTTCAGATAACGCGACCGGTCCAAGGCATTTTGGCTCTTCAGTCACCTCAAGAAAACTGGTGCCTTCGGCCTCACCTATCCATCCAGCTGTAGCTGCTAGATACTGCCCTGAGAAAGGATGCGAAGAATGCAAGCTTCAAGTGCTTCAAAAGCTTTTGTGGTCCAAGGAAAGTCTTTCATAACTAGAGGGAAGCTTTCTGTGTGATACAGCCGGACAAGCAGAGGCTGAATTGGGGATCTCTGGAGCATAAACGACAGCAAAACAGCCTCTGGATGCAGATGTCACCCCGCACAGAAACGTGTATGGGAGCATGTGAGAGGCAGCGTAGCCACACTAGTGTATTAATATGCTTTTAGGAATGTAGAGCAGGCTCTGTCAGAGCCATAAAGCAAAGCTGATGAAAGCCATATGTGGCTCTGATAGGATGCCGAGCAACATAGGAAGCAAAACTCTGCTGTGAGAACAGGTACTTGTCCACACGGCTCGAGAGAAAGCAGCTTGGTGGTTCATGATAAATGATGCTGGGGCAAGGCAGGGGATAGTGCCCCAGAAAAATGTTGTTTCAGCTGCAAAACCAAGATCAGATTATTTGAGAAGAATAGAAGCAGCAGCAGCAACAGAAGAGAGCACAAGAGAAGCGTCTCCTTTAACAACCTAGGAACACGTGCTAGACCAGAACTCATCTGACCATGTGGTCCCCTGTTATCACCAGTGGACGAAAGCAGACATTCATTATCCTAAAGCAGACATATAAAATAGTAAGTGTATTATAAAGCCTAACAGTCTGTAGACGACTTTAAGTAGTGCCTGTTGCCATTGGACTTGACCCACTGGCTGGCACAGACTCTGCATCAGGGGGTTACCTCAGGGGCAGCTTTCCTTGCCCTCTCCAGGTCAAGTTTCAGTGCGTTCTTGAAGCGAGCCCTCTCAACACAGGACGGTGAGGGGAAAAAGGTCTATATCAGACATCGACTTAAGAATCATCAAGGATCATCACCACAAGCAAAAGGGAAACTACGTAAAAACCCATGTGGGTCATGACTTAGCAATAACCTCTTCTTGTTGGCTGCTTTTATCTGAGCAGTGTGATGAGCAGAATCGTGAGACGATACAAAAGTGAGAGCGCTGGCTGCTACGGAAAAGCGGAGTGATAAATCCAGAGAACAAGATCTGGCTTAGAGAGAGAGGGGCTCTACCACCAAAATGAAAAGCAGAGGGAAAGGACTGAGAGGCTGAGTTGTAGAGAACAGTACATGAAATAAGAGGGGTGAGGGAAGAGCCAGGAGGATGGACAGGGGCAAGCATTTCTCCTGGCAGCTAAAGAATGCCGTTGGTAAGGTACATCTTTTCCTGCAGTACAAATAGGTGCAACGTTGCAGCCAAGAGCACCTTTCCTTCCTAGCTGCTGTTGGAAAGACTCTTCAGGTCATCTCCCCTCTGACTCCATGGCCACATCCATCCGCAGTGAGAGGCAGCTGTGAGAAAGCACCTCAGAACAAGCCCCACTTTCTCTCAGGTGGCCCTCTACTTGTAGAAGAACCTGGCTTTGCATACTGACCTCTCCAAGCAGGCAGCTAACGAACACCTCTGACTCTTCCCTCTCTTGTCTTTGCTCTCATGGCCAGCTTCTCTCCCGCTGAGTGAAAGAAGGGCCACTGACAGTCCTCGCCCTTCTCGACTGGATGGGCAAAAGCTCCGACGCAATCGGGTGTATCTGACGCCCTTCATCTGTGCACGCAAGGCCAGCGTTCACTATTGCATCTCCTGCTGCTATCTGATGCCCGCATCTTTTCAGTGATAATCAGGTCTAAATTGGTCCCTAAGAAGAAAAGTAAATGTTGCTCGTGCCTGTGCCCATAATCTCCAGTCCTCATGCAGCAATTTACATTTACACTTTCCAAAGGTCCCAGGCTGGACGCATTTACATCCTGCCCCTGCTTAGCAGCAATCTGGCCTGCTTCGGCCCTGCTTTGGGAAGCCATCAGTGAGAACGGAAGGGTAGAGTGGGGTGGGGAAAATTTGCTGTCACTTTAATATATGCTTTTCTGGTTTTGTTTGTGTTTTGTTTTCTTTTTAAACAAGTTCTTATATTTGGTCCATAGGTCTTCTGTGGTCCCGAATTATATCACCCTTAATGATCAGCTTGGTTATTCCTTCCTATATAACATTCACCAAATTTACAGCAATGGAAAAAAAAGGAAACAAAACGAAACATTTCTCTTTTTTTTTTTTTTACAAAGGAAAAAAAGGATCAGTTTGGCTTTGACTATGCCAACTACCTAGATCAAGGGAAAGTCCTTAAGTGTGGGCAAAATGCCATGGCCAGGTAAGTTAGAGGGAGGGCGTTAATAAATGTACCCGACCCGTCGTCTCTGGCCACAGGAGGAGTCAGGTCACAGAGGCCAGGCTTGCCTCTGAGAAGAGTGCTCTGGGAGGAGCTGGATACTTGGAGAGCCCTCCCCATCTTTCCCGTCTCCTTCACAGCTCAAGTTGGTGCAAGGTGGAAGGGAATTGGGAAGGAGTAGGGTCCGGGTGCAGGTAGATCCCTGGAAGGCTGGTGGTGTTTTCTCCAGTGGTACCAAGTTGCTGGAGTGGGTTGTTGGCACAGTCGGACTCTTCAGTAAGCTTGGCCTGTCTCTACTGGTAGGAGGCCCAGAACGGCTGAATGTTCTCCCAGCTTCATCCTACGCTGTGTAGACAGACTCACGTTCTTGGCCAAATAATCAACAGCGGCTGAAGAGGAGGGGAAAAAAACAGGAGGGTGAGAAAACAGCACAGCATTAGCATTTAGTGGAAAGGAGGCATTCGGCATCAAAGGGTGTGTAACCAACAGACCCAGCCGACTGCCTCTTACAAAGAGAGGCCCATTGCAGTGGCTGTCACAGACACGAGGGTCCTGCTGCACTCCCAGTGCAAACAGAGTGCAAACAGATGATGGTCCTGCCAGAAACACCTGACAGGACAGACGCTGCTGGGGTTAAGCGCAGCTGCAATGTGCAGAGTGTCCTCTGCATGTGCTGCTGCAGTTCCTTGCATCCCTCCACGGACCTACTGAAAAGAGCTAAAATTCTACTTCTGCCATAGAAAATGTTGTTTCCAAGGGAGCTGCCTGAAGATGAGCCTGAGCAGAGAGCCAGAGGGATAAGCCTTCCAGCCTCACTGCCCTGTATCATCTCACAGTGGCAAAGCCAACTCCCGCACTCAGTGATGCTGGTGTAAATGATTCCAGAGATTTCAGTGGAAGCTCACCAAGTCTGGACAGGGCTTCAATCTGACTCATCTGCTGCGTGCTGACTCATCTCTGTGAGCTCTGCTGCCTGCCTTCATCCACCCTTCCTAAGGGAAACCGCTTTGCTGATCTCCATCTGGGTGAGAAACGCAGCCACAACTCCTGAGGCGATGCCTGAACCTGCATCCCAGCTCGCCTGACTGCCCCGTGGTCTGAGGGGGAAGAGGACTGGGGCAGGATGGTGACATTGCTCATTAGATGAGCTTCAGTCAAAGTCTCTCCTTTTCACTAGCTTTAATGTCTCAAATTAGATTAATAAGGAGCTGGCAGGAGACGTACAATCGGTGCCAATGAGTAAACAAATTTCAGCCATCAACGTCTTGTCAGACGCCTGCCCCAGAGGAGGTCCCTTCCAGACACAAATTCTTATTAGACTTGTCATATCTATTAGAATTCCTTTCACGCTTCTGCGTTCCATCACCGGCATCATTAACACAGCTCCGGCCTTTGGGAACCGCAAGGACCACATTAATCTGGCATCTCTGCTCCTCACCGGCTGGGACAGAGCAGGCTGTGCAAGTGCTGGCAGGCTGGCGCGCTGGAAGCGAGCAGGCTCGGCTCAGGGTGAGTTACCGGGGGCCGAAGCGAGGCCTGCTGGGGAGCACGGCTTCTGCAGGCGGCAGAGTCTGAAAGGAGCTGAGTTAAGCAAGCGGAGCTGGCACACTGGCTGGTGCTCCTCGGGGACTGGGCTCTGTAACGTTGTGTTGTGGTGCCTCTAGCTTCAAGGGGGGGTGTGCAGAGGATTAGACCCCAAGCTATGACTCTCATCCACACCTTATCAGCTTGGTCCCCTGATAATTTCAGGTAACCACATTAAATAATGGCTTTGAGAGGCAAGAGGAAAAGAGGAGAGTCACTCCTTGGACATGCTGCATGTGTGGTTGTGCTCTGGGTGAATTCAGATGGGTGCTCAGGAAAGGAGGGAGGTGAACGGTCGGGGCCAGTCATCCTGCTCTGGGCAGGACCCAGCAAAAGGGAAATCTGATGGCAATCCCATCCTAAAAAAACATGCTAAACTCAGTATTACTTTTTGTGCCAGTGGGAAGAGTTCAAAGGCACCAGGGTATCCCACGCCAGAAGTCAAAGACATGGTTTGTGGCTTTAATACAGTGGAAGCCAAAGTAAAACCAGAAACTTACTGAAAGGACTCTGGGTGTTTATTTGCTTATGTGAGAGAGAAAGTGTGTCTGGTTTTGTGTTTCTAAACCAGAGAATAAGGAGGAGAGAAGTGGGGAGAGAGAGGTTCCCTGCAGGCCAGGTCCAAATCCTACCAAAGCTACACAGCTCTTCTTTACAAGCCCTAGTTATGTCCCCAGTTATACAGAGCCTGCCCCCACCATAACAACCTCCCATCTTTATTATATCAGTGTTCACTAAAACGAGTTTTAGTTGGGGGTTTTTTTCTGCATCATAGAAGGAAGAAACATATGATTTGAACTGAACATTGACAAATGATCTTGTGGAGGTCGCCTCACACTAAGCAGCATTTAAATAGCATTTGAAAAGAAGCAGTGAAGAATTAAAAAGCAGGAGGAATCAGAAGTATCTGCTAAATACAACGTGCACTGAGAAAGACAAGCAAAAATGTTGTTATATCAAGGTCAACTTCATGTAAGTGCTCTAACAGGACTAATTACCAATGAAAACTGTTTCCTCACAGAGATTATTATAAATGGGGCTCATTATAAGAAAGGTTTATAGTGAAGTGGACTTATATATTGCCTGCAGAGAGCTGTAAATACAAATATCTATATGCATACATGCACACATGCGGAATTTGCTGCTTAACATAGATCCCAGTTGGTTTGTGCTGCATCTGCCATGCATCACGGCATTGGCTTTGGCTGGAAGACTTGCCGTCCTGCTGGGTGTGACTCCAGCTCCCAGCACTGGGAAGCAGTGGCACTGTGGATGGTGTGTGATGGTTTCTCACCTACCTTCCTCACCCCAGCAGGAAAAACACCTTCATGACTAGCTACCTGCGTGTCTCTAGGCATGGGACACATCTGGATTAACTCTGTCGACCACGCAAGGTTTGCTGCTGCGCACAGACCTGTTGGCAGCCCAGACTCTCGTGACTATTAACAGGGAAACTTTCCTGTTCTGAACCTAGCCTTGTAAATTGAATGGGTGCCCAGCAGAAAAGAGGGTGCCGTGCGACAGAAATCAGGAAAGGGAGTAAATAAACCAACATAGACAGAGCTGCACGAGCAGTTTTTCATCAGCATAAGGAGAGGCCCAAGTAAAAATTCCTGCAGCAAACCAAGACAAACCCTTCTTTCTCTTTCCTTCTCCTTTGCTGGTCTCTCTCTCTCAGAAAACGTAGCTCGTCCTCCTTATTTTATTTTTTACACACATGGGTGTGACTAACGTCTTGCCCAAGGGAATCTTTATTGGAAATACATGGTATTGGAATTTGTTTAAGATTTTTATCAATAGCACGTGTGTCCAGCCTCACATCCAGAAGCGAGGGGAAGGTCAAGGGGTCACAGATCAAACTCCCGAAAAACAAAAAAAGGAGGGGTGGGGGGAAGCTGCTATTGATCCCGTCTGCTGCCACAGCCGGTTCTCATTTAGCAGTAGAAGTTAAAGACATTAAAGGGCTGTGACGGAGAGGGGAATAAAAAGCCACAGCCAAATGGAAGGAAAGGTCACTGAGGACAAGCTATGGGCAAGCAGCAGTGCTCCCGGAGGAAGAGGATGCACCTTTAACCCTCCACGGATCACTCTCTCACAACACCACACTTATTATTAGTTTAACACCGGCAGGTGAGCCCTTTGCCAGGCTCACTGGTGTTTTTGTGACCCAACCTTTCTGGAGGAGAAACAGACCCTCCCTGGGTCCCCCTGCCTTTGGGGTGTGAGGTTTGGGTTCAGGATTACAATTCCAGCCTCTTTTCACCTTCCGCAGAACCACGGCCCAGTTGACAGGCATTGGCTTAACATTTTTAGTAGCAAAATCTCTGAGCATGGACCCAGCCCTCACCTTACCGAGGGCAGGGGAGGGTGTGACACATACAGTTCTGCATCACTAAGAGGTGGCATTAAACTCCCAGCTTTCCTTTGGCTGAGCAGGGTGAAGATGTTGTAGGACTTTTGGAGAAGCAAGAATTGGAGAGGGAGAAGGAGAGAGCTCTGGAAGTTGTCCTTTTCTAACAGAAATGTTTTACCTAAAAACTGGCACTTTTGAATGAGACTGCAAGGGTATGGGGGAAGCTGTGTGGAGCAATCTCCATCTGTGTCTGATGAGCAGATTCCCTTTTTCTCTCTAGACGGACAGATTTCCATGGGAATCCCTTCCAATACAATATCCATACTTTCTTACATTCCCTCCCTCTCTTCTCCTGTTCCCTATGCAGGGGGAATACAATCAGTGCACTTACTTTGTCCGTACTGTCCATATTGGTAGCCAGCCACTGGGTCCACACTGTAACTGGTGGTGCTGTAGGTGGGAGGACAGTAGGACTGGGAAGTCGGGAGGCTGTCCACGGACTTGATGGAGTCGCTCCGCTGGCTGCAGCTGGCAGAGATGGAGTTGGTGGTATCCAAGCCGCCGTGAAGGGGAGAGATGGAGAAGTCAGCCTGGGGTTGTGGAGGAACCCCACTGGGGTTGCTCAGGATGCTCATCACCTGGAGAAACACAGGAAACAACCCGTCAATGTCTGGAGGAGAAAGGGTACGTGCAGCTGCCTTCATGCATACCAGGGAGAAACAGTCTATGTATAGTGGTGCTCTATCAGCATGATACACAATATCAATACAGGTTTGGCCAGGTTGGAGGATGAAGGTCTGCTTCCCCCTAGTAACCACAGACAGAGCCCACCATTGGCTCCTCTGTCTCTAATGCTTTATTTCAAAGACCTTCATAAAGGATAATTGAGAAGTTCTTTCACAGCACACTCAGTCTTTGGTCTTTCTTTGCTGACCTGCCAATGTTAGCAGCGCTGTTCAGAATGAACACTGGAGAAAAGAATAAACCTGGGACAAACCCACTCGACATGCACTGCTGTGACCTAGCACCCTCTCCCTTCTTACGCACAGCCCTCACAGAAGAGGAGACACATGAGACAGGGAGCAAAAATCTGTATTTTCAAAAAGAGACGCTGAAGACAGCCCTTTTCTTTGGAAGTTGGAGTGGGGCTTGGTTTGCAAAGGTCCCTAACCAAACCAGACACAAACTCTTTCTGGCTTTGATGCAGATTCAGCTTTAGGAACTGAAATGTCAAAGTTCTCTTTACCCTCAAATGTTAAAGGATAACAAGTCCTGGTTCGGCTCATTTCAGTGTAGTGCTTGGTTTGAAAATGTAATTAAATTTGCACACAAGCAATCTTCCTGCTTTGAGACCTCAAACAGATGAACTTACGATCTTACAATTATTTTTTTTTTCTTCTTTTGCAGAAAAAAATGCCAGATTTGTTCCTGCGGGTGAGTTTGGGGTAAGCTGCTGCCTACAGGCCTTCACACAAGGACTCTGATCCCACTAGCGCTTTAATGCAATTGCCTCCTGCAATCAGCAAAATTACCCCCGGGCTGCCAAGTTAAGAGTGTAAAGAGTTTGCAGAAGCGGGGCCGTGGCGAGGGAAGGAAGGGAACTCCTGATGCCTCTCGGTTGATCTCCGCAGCCGCCGCAGATGCCTTGCCGTATTTGTGCTGGGGAAGGGCGGGGGAGAGGGGACAGCCAGTCACCTCGGGGGGCCAGGCCAGCGCTCAGATGCCGAGCGGTTGAAAATCTCCGAATTTAGCATAACCTTATTGACATCAATTAAAGTGGCAAATTGGAAATATTTGGAGCCTGGCAAGTGGTAAAATGAGCCCTTTATCCCCCACCAGCGGCCTGGTGAGCTATTGTGCGGAGGATACATTCTCTAGAAGGACACAAGCGGGGTTGTATAGAGCGGCGTCTCCCCTTCCTGCTCACCCCGACACCTTCCCCGTCCCCTCCTCCCTCACCTTCCTGCCGGAGCGGGGGCTTAGGCTGAATGACCGGCTACGCACTGGCCTTTGCTTTCTAAAGCTTCTCCTCCCCCCGGAAGGACTCAGGAGTCCTGCAAAGATGCTTTCTCTTGATGTGATGCCACCTCCCGACTCAGCCGGCCTGAGATCCTTCCCAGGCATTTGTCTGGGAGGGGAATTTGGGAGCAGGGGTGGCTGGACCCCCGCGGAGGGGGAGGCCGTAGGGAGGTACTGGGGAGGGGGTTAGTTAAAAAGCCTGGAAAATCAATCTAACCCTGACCACTGGGTTTGTCTGCAGTGTGGTACAGAGACACAGGAACGAGCTTGGAACAAGCTAAGTAGAAGCAGCGCAGTGGTGGCAGCACAGAGCCCAGACAGCGTTCACTTACCCTCTCCTCCTTCACGGTTTTCAGCCTGCACTGAGCTTCCAGTTTGCTACTGGTCCCCAAAAGTTAAACCTAGCTTAGCTGTCTCTACACTGCAGGGCGGACAGCGCTCAAGACAGAGCCTAAATTACCTCCAGCTCTCCAGACCCTCCGGGCACAGCTTCTTAATCACAGTGATTAAGCCTTGAGGTATCTAGATGAAGTTGTTTAGCCATAACGCTGTGCAGAACGTGCCCATGGAACTCCCTGCCCCACGACAGCCCAAAGACTAAAAGAGAGGGGGATGAAGAAAGGAAATTGCATTTAAATATGCAAGACAGAGTGGCTTAATTTGAGAATAGGGCAGTCATGCTTTTCTGTGTGGATGTAATGTAAACCTCTCTGCCTCAAGGCTTATGCAGCAGGGAAATCACGGGAGTGCAGCCTGAAGGTAGGTTTTCCAGCTGCAAAGTTATTTGTAACCTTCCACTAAAGCCGGATCACGAACTTTGATCTGGCTCAGCTACGAATCCTCCTTCTCTGCCCCTCGATCCCGCCGGCTGCAGACAGATCTCACAGCTTCAGCATCGCCTTAGCTGTAGGTGTTACACCCTGCACCCTTTTGCCCCAACAAATATTGCATATACAGCAGCCACGAGACATTATTGGATTTCATTTGCAAGCAGAATCAGATGTTTAAAACAATAAACATCCTTCTTGCATGTGCGAAAACACAGATATATGAATTATGAGTTATTTTGGGAAAGCTTCAGCTCGGGCAGCGCAAAGCTGGGCTGTTTCGCCTCTCCCTCCCTGAGCTGTCCAGGTCTGGCAGTGCTGCCTGCCTGAGGATGTGCTGCCCGCAGCGCCAGCCCCTGCAGATGCAGAAAAGAAATCGTGTGCTATAAAGTGAAGGGCAACTGGAACCACTCACAGACCGGAGGGTTTTGTAGTGCTCTCCCTCCTGGCCATCTCCCCAAAAGAGTCAGCTGCTTTATATTACTCAGAGAAAATAAAAGGCTCTTAAAGCAAGCAGAAGTCATATTAACACTTCCGCTAAGGCCCTTTTAAAAAGAAAAAGGGATGTAAAGCAACGTTGGTAAATGAAACCCAGATTCACACTCTTCAAATTCAGAGGAGCTGTGACCGGAGAAGACACTTGTGCAAATCCTACTAAAGACAGTAATTGGCTTTAATCAGTCAAAATCAGGACTGATTTCTAATCCCAGCTCTGCTACTGACTCACAAGGGCTTGTGCAAGTCACTTAAGCTAGGACTCAACTAACCTTAGCCATGTGAAGTTAAGTTTCTAGTCCCTGCTAATCCTCTAGAATCCCTCTACAGAGAGACTGATGCTTCTGAAGGACAATTCATCCCATCCTAAGACCCCTTTCTGAAAAAGACGGGCTGAATGTCCCTCTGGAAATCCATAGTGAAACATAAGGATGCCAATATTTCATCATGACAGTGCCGGGGTGGTGAACGGATACTCTATGCAGGTTGGAGAGGGGAGATGCTGGAAGGTGGCTACGAGATGTACATCCCTGCCGGAGCTCCCACGGACGTAGGGTGGTCAAGTGCTGCAGATGAACCCTGACAGAGGCTGTGGGGCTCAACTGAGCCAGGACCCCCAAAGGTCTCTGTTCCCTCTTCAGCAACACTAATGGTGGGAAGTATCTGCCTCTTCCAGGCACGCTGAGAGCAACTGGGGGCTGGGGTCCCCTCAGACTCTGTTTGCACAGTTTTATCAGAGGACAGCATCGGATCTTGCCCAGCCCAGGACACAAAGGTGTTAGAAATAACAAGAATGAAATGGAGATTTCTATTTCCTCTTTGCTATGCAGCCACCCAGCACTGATAA